TCAGTTACATTTTATAATTGCACCTTAGTTATAGTTCCCTTTTACTGCAGGACCACTTTTACCAGCTCAGCCCTCATGACAGTGCAAGTTACCCATCCCAAACCCTGAAGCTGAGGTCACTGGTTTCAAATCCGGAGCCCACTGCACTGGACCAGCGAGTTTTGGAGGAAAACATCAGCTCTACCTTTTATATAAGAGCTTAATAAGCGCATGAGTGTGTGCAACACAGCAAATCAGATAACTCTGTTACAAAAATATTATTTCTGAAAACTATCCTGGTCACTGGAACAAAGTATTTAACTTATCACATTTATCAGGAGGTAAAACAAAACCTTTGCATGTATAAACAAATATTTATACAAGTGCATACAGTCTCCAAACACATATGTAGATATTTTGTTGTTTATAAGCTTAGTCAACAAATTACTGTTCTCAATGAGAAATATCGAGTTCATTGTTTCTCACTGAATAGATCTTCCCTATATTTGATTATAAATGGCAATATAATTTTACAGAAGAAAAACATTACTTTAAATTTTCGGAAAAGATCATTCTTATACGTTTCCTCCTCTTCTCCAAAGGTTTACTTAATTACATCAATGTAATTTTTGTGTGCAAATTAATTTGCTCTGTCTTTATATACAAAGATCAGAACATTTTAAAATTTAGCGATTAAATAGGATAATACTGGATATGCAAACACACACTACCATAGATGGAGTGTATGCTCATTGTATGAATCTTTGTTACTGCTCTTAATGATAAATATAGGCAGCAGGATGACATCCAAAGGTGAGGAATAAATAAAAGGTTACATGATAAAAGGTTATGTGTAACACTCATAATTATACTTTCCATGTTATACAAACTCAGCTGAAAGACACTCCAAAAATATGTATCAGATCAAATACTTCATCCTTTAAGGATGAGCTAGAAGTTGAATTTTCACTGATTAGTGTGATCTCATAACTATCTTCTGGCTGCTTTGCCCCTCCTGAATGAGAGGCTGCCCCCTAAATGTATATAAAGGTGTCTCTCTTGCCACATATTACACTATACTGTATACAATATACATATCACCCAAAATGTTATATACACGATTGTCCAGGTTTCACTTTAAATAAGGGCCAAACATTCAGGTCTGACTGAAATATTTCCCAGTGCTGCAAATGTCTGCTATTAGAAGTTGTGGTTCCCAATTGCTATCTTACTACACAGGTTAGGGCAATGCCTATGTATCATTGGCATCTTAAGTAGCCATCGGTTTAAAACGTCATATAATCCACTCTTAAACTCTACAGTCATTGCTGACTCTTGAGCCCTGAAATAAATCACTCCTCCCCATCGCATAAATTCATGTCTCCAGGGTTCTTTACACACATTCTCCACAAGGCCATTTTTGCTTCCATGTCTGATCAACGGGCTCAGGTAGATTAACACGGAGGGCATCAGTAAGAAGAGCTCCTTAGGCACCTTTCATTATTTCGTTTTGTTTAGTGCATGGGATTTATTCGGGAGAGAGAGAGGGGAGGGGAGAGAAAAGCACCAGTTAACTCACCTCTCTCAGCTGCTCCAGCTCCTGTTTAAGGCAATCATAGTCAGCCTCCAGCTCGTCATATTGCTGTTTCAGGGTGAGTTTTTCCTCCAGCACCACCAGCCCATATTCAGCTGCCTGGATCTTTTCGTGGGTTGTTTCGGTGAGCTCCTTAGTCAGCCTTTCGATCTCAGTCTTATAGTGATCCACTGTCTGCAATACCTCTTCTGCAGCCATAGCCCTTGTGGATGGATGGATGGATGGATGGATGGATGGATGGATGGACAGAGAGATGGAGAGGGGGTGGGGGTGGGGGAAGGGAGGGATGGACGGCACTGTCCCTGGATGCTCCTGCTAGCAGCAGCAGCTACACTGACTGAAGCACTGAAGAGAGATGTAACATGGAGAAGAAGGGGAGGAAATCAAAGAAAAGGCTGCAGCACCATTTGTCCTCTAGCCGCTTCTCTCCTTCTCCTTGGCCTGTCAGCAGCAGCGCAGCGAACCGGGGCTGGGAGGGGAGGCAGCTTGGGGATTTTTTGCTTATTCAGAGGCACTGATCCGCCATGTCTCGAGGGCAGCTTCACTGCAGTCTCTGAACTCTCCACCTGCTCCCTCTCTCCCCGCTGCTGCTGCAGCCTGTGCAAAAAATGATGCAGTCTGTCTGCTGCCTGCCTGGAACCAAACGAGAGGAGGAGAAAGCAGATGGGGAGGAAGGCTGGGCTGGAAGGGGGGAGGGAAGGGACAGTTATTACCATAGCACAGCAAAAGAGACACTACAGCCACCTCCCCCACCAGCCACCCCCCTACACACCTCTCTCCAGAGGCCAGGAGGAAGGAAAGGCAGAAATGAAGAAGGAAGGGAGGAGAGATGGGAAAGTGGCAGTGATGCCGCCTGCTCCCCTCGAGGGCAGGAGTGTTTGTGGCTGCCTCTACACAGGTTTGTTGATAAATATAAATCTCTCTCACATACACACACTGACACACACACTCTCTCTCTCTCTCTCTCCCATCCCCAGCCCAGAAATCCCACACAGACACACACCAGGTTATTCTCTGGCAGGTTTGCAAAAGGAGAAGAGCAGGAAACAATCCTCATCTGCTTCCTGTCAATGCATCTGCATGCTTGCAAACAGAGCGTTGCAAAGAGGCTATCAGAGGGGGGACAGATCAGACCCCCTAAAAATTCACTGTAAGGCAACACCCTCCTCAGTACACACATATACTGTACCCCAAACTCATTCATCCTCCTATCCCAGAACACACAAACACATCCCAGCTCCCACCCTCACTGGGATTAGGCTGAAATCTTCATGGAAGGCAGGATTCTTACACCTTCTTTTGAGGTAACTGGTGTTGGCCACCGTCAGAGACACTATACTGGACTAGTTGGACTTTGGGTCTGAGTCAGTATGGCAAATCCTATATCCTATGGGAGGCGTCAGTCTCCCTAGGCTGTCTCAATACAACTCTGTCCTAACCATACTGAACGTTGGGAAGTGCGTTTATGTGAATGGAAACACTCATTAGTTTGAATAATTTAGCTGCTGAGAAGAAAGCACCCCTTTTCTCTTCCTCCTCCTTGCAAGGAAAGAACAGAGCCTGCCATCCTGCCTACACAATCCCGACCCTGTGACAGTGTCGCCCCAAGGTTTGGAATTCTCCACTTCATTGTCTAATAAATTGAAAAATCAGGGAGATTATTCTAATACACACAGAGTGTAGTATACTGACCTCTGTGTTGTTCACATCATACCCACAGCATACTTGCACTCTTAGAGGACAGTGTCCTGTGTTTGTATTTCTAAGATGCTCCATGTTTAGTAAGATCAGCCAACTGTAATTTTGAAGTCTTGCCTGTACATATTCCTTAGGTCTCTTGACAGTGGAGAAAAACTGGGGAACTGTGGTGTAGTTCTAGCCCTTTTGCTTTTTGAGCATGTTTCTCTGATGGTTACAATACTGACTGTGCTATTAAAAATAGAAGCTGAGATTCAGTCCAGTCCATTACATGGACAAGAGCACAGCCTGTAGCTTTCACAGGCTTGTTATGGAATAACTGACTGGTCCTTCACTGGGGAAACACATACACGGAACAGAAATTAAAGTCAGTGCTGAAAACTAAGAATGGAGTCCTAATCCCTCCTAAAATTTATTGCATCAGGATTTTCTGAAAATCTTCTGTTTTCAAAATATTAGGAAAATTAGATTTACTAACTAGAATGTGATTTGTCTGAGAAAGACTAATTATATTTTAAATGATGTCTTTAAAACCAGGGACAATATAGTCCAGTGCACAGAGCACTGTACTAGGAGTCAGGAGAGCTGCATTCTAATCCCAGCGCTGCTACTGACCTGCTGGGTGACTTTGGACAAGTTATGTCATCTCTGTGCCTCAGTTTCTCCATTTTCAAAATCAGATGAGGATACTTTTCTTCTAGTGTAAGGTAATTTGAGATTTGTTGCAAGACATATTAGAGTTCAATATTATTATTCCGACATGGTCCGTCTGCTTAAAATACTAAATGTGTTTAATTTCCTGCTGCCTTGAAGACAAAAATGAGATAAATAAACAAAGCAATAGTTATTTTTTAAAACCACCAAACAAACCTTGCTACATTATTCTGTAGCTGGAGAGTAGCTTTGAAGCAAACATGGAAGCTTCTAACAAATTGTAGTTGCGAAATAATAATGAATATTCACAGCAAAGGAGCATACAAAGCAGTAACAGGCTTTTGCAAGTGATTAAACATCAAAACAAGGCCAAAAAGCCAGTTACTCCATGCTTGCTTCATCCAGCAAAATATTTTCCTAAAATAGGGTGAAAGATACAAGAAACCAACAATAAAATGGGTGGGGGGAGGGAAGGGAGCATATAATTTCCTTGCCTTGATAGGGTTTGAAAGTGCTGTGTTGCTGTTCTCTTGAACTTTCTACTCATGCCACTTTAGAAGCAAAGCTTACGTGAATAATTGTTCAATAAGAGATTGAAAAACAAACTCTTTACCTTCAGAGCTAAAAAGTACATGGTTGTTCATGAAAAAGATCTGTTTGGAAATCGATGGATGCAACTGGTGTACAGGGCTACTCCAGCCTTGGTCAAACGCCACTGAAATCAGGTTGTTCATTGTCTCATACACAAGCACCTCCTCGCCACATGCGCAAACCCCATCTGGGCACACTCAAAGATGAGGGGCCTGACTGATTACATTTTGGAATCTTGCTGCCATATTTCCACACAGTGGGTGAGTGACAATTTTTTTTTAACTGAGATTCCTAGCACAGGGTTGACACAGGCAATGTAGGGAGACTTATGCTGTCCCCTCCCCATTGAATCCTTGATTTTGAGGAGTGGAGGTGGGAGGATGCAGCAAAGCCAAGAGTGGGAGAGGGAGTAAACTCCAGCTGTTCTGGACTGTGGAACAGCTCCCTGGCAGTTGAGGGAAAGTTGCCCTAATTGAGAATAACTCCTTTGGCTGCTCTAATTATGCTGGGGGCCATTCCACCTCCAGAATAGCCCATCATTTGCCACCATTATCTCCTCACTCTCTGGGCTGTGCCTCCTGTACTGCCTCTCCTAGCAGTTGCAGCATAGTGTCCCATTCTGGGGTGCAATCCAGACCCACGACGAGTTGTGTCACCTCTTACCCTGTAACTTTGAGTGCCACACAATGCCTTTCCCCTGTGGCTCTCTGTCTGGGACACCCAGTCAGCAACAAGCATGCACTCTGTGTATTTATTGGGCAGCACTGGTCCAATGCTTTGAACCCTGGACCCTGTGTGCAATACCACAGATTTCCACTGGCTTCCATCAACCTTGGTTAACAACTAGAATGGTGACTTCACACTCTCCCCAGTCCTGAATTTTCCCAAAAATGTGAATTCTGAAATATCTAGACCTATCCTGGAACAACCAGAGGGATAGTAACATTCATTGGCCTTTCAATATTTAACAGTTTATTACTTTAACTCACGTTACCAAACAGTTCAGTTCAAACTCAGCACAGGGTTAGTTTAGATTAAAAATAAAACAAGTTTATTAACAAAAGAAGATAGGCTTTTAAGTGGATTCCAGTATAAGAAAGAAAGCTAGAAAATGGTTCCCAGCAAATAAAAGTGAAAACGCACATCTACAAATTGAAAACTTAATCTAGCAAGTTTTGGTTCAAGGCTTTGTTCTAGATGGTCTTTGTCTTCTAGCAAGATGGTGACTGACCTTCTCCTCAGTCAGGGTCTCTTCCAGAGGCCTAAAGGTGCTTTGTCTCCTTCGGTGAAGCAGATAACTTGAAGTTCTCTGCTCCTTTCTTTTATAGTCCTTTGAAGTGCATTCTGCTGAAGGTTACTCTTCAAAGAAAACTTTATCCAAGTAGTCGAGGGAAGCAACATGGAGTCTGGTGATGAAGGAGGCTCCATGTTCTTTCCATGCAGGGCTGTCCGGTTTTGAACATGTGCTAAAAATAACATACAGGGGGAAATAATAACTTTATATATAATATTGATACATGCATTTCACCACAATATTATTATCCAGTGAGTTATTAGTCTTCAAGTGATACCTCACAAGCCATATTTTATACAAAGATTATTACAATAGCGTGCAGGGTGTGAACACAGGGTGCTTTTGGTCGCACATGGAATCTGGCCCATTGTGTCTATACTTTTAGGATTTTGTACTGATGACCACCAACATAGTATCCAAATGCCTCCTACTTTAATTAGATTGGCACAGCAAGGTCCCTAGTGCACTTCATAGACTCCTTTGCTCTTCTCCCTTTCTTGGCTTGGGGTAGTTTCTGGTCTTGCAGTTTTTTGTGGGGAAGTGGGAGGGGAAGGTGTGACACACAGGCCCATTGGTGCCAACTGGCAAAGGATTCATTGTTCTTTACAAGCATCTCCTGACTGAGACCCGAAAAACTCACTACACCTAACATGCCGCTTGCATGGTATTTATCCATGAAAGGTAGTATGTGAGGTCTCTCCTGAAAGCTTGTAACTTATCGATACTCAATCATTGCAAAATGTCTATAAGGGTAATATTTAAGGAATAATGCAACTACGTTGAAAATCATGCCTTTATGGTCTTGGAGAGAAAGTGAGTCACTAGGAAATCATATGTCTGGTAATGACCCTTTCAGATGGGAGGGAGTTGTTACCCTCCCTGGCTAGCCAATTATGTAATACATTGCTCAGCATCCACCTTTGCACCAACCCAGAAAAGTCAATGGAAACCCATCAAAGAAACTATAAACATCAAAACCACTTGGGAGTGAAAAGGAATGATAGTAAGGGATCGCCCTCTCTGTGATTAAAGGCAAAAGACTGATTCAGTATATCACATGATGGAGAAAGACACTCTGGGTCCACTCACTGATGAGCAGGGATACTTCATGAAAGACTGGATCCTACTTCTGTGGGGCTAGTAAGCACTGCAAAAACTGAACTTAGGGATAGGAATCTACTTTATTAGATAGGAAAGGTAACTATTAATAAGTGTAGGCCTGACTCCTTGTTTAGGATTTTTTCATGAAACCGTTTGTTTCCATCACTCACACTTGTTTCTGTCCAAATCTCTATTCTTTCTTAAATAAATTTCTTATTGTTTGCCATAATTGAACTCATGTGTTATGTGATATACAGGACCGATGGTCTAAGAGGTAAAACTGGTAAACTTGGATACACTGTTCCTTTGGGAACAGAGGATCTGGGATTTCTGTGGGTATCCAGTGATCAGGGGCTGGACACCACAGAAGGGCACTTTGAAGGGACTCAAGGGTGCATCTATTGTCAATCTGCAGGGCAAAGGCAGGGCTGGCGTGGCCCAGTGAAGAAAGCTTGCATAGCTGATTGTGTTAGGGAGCGAATACCCAACTGGCATAGGCAACACTCCTCCATGCTGGAGGCAAGTGGCAACAAGGTGAGTCTCAGCCCTGGCTGCCATGGGAAGCATCACAGAAGGGCACCTGATGCTGTAAATGTCATTCTGCGGATGGTGGCTTTATCAAAGAAGGTGTTGGAGCATGGAGTAGACACATTGGATTTGTCTAAGCTTTTCTGGAAATCCACTCAACTGGATCCCTCTTGGCTGAGACACACACCCCTACCCCCCATCCCATCCTTATTTCCCATGAAAAATAAAAGTTAAGGCTGCTGCATGGAGGTGCAAATTAAGCACAGGTTCTAGGCCACAGTTCTGGGGCTATCAGGTATTTACTTAATAGTCAAAGTGCACAGCTCTAAGCATTCTAACTATTTTAAATAATTTCATTGCACAAACATAAGTCATCTCATGGACTTCTATGCCCTGCCCAGATCTCTCTTTATGCTTTCTGCCTTTGACAGCTCAGAACCCTTGTGCCTGAATCTTATTAAGAGGTGGTAGATCTGATTTAATTATTTCTTCTTCACTTTTATTCTTTAGAGTTAGTTTCCTCTTGTGTGATGATTTCAGCCAGTCACCATCTAGAAGGCTTAAACAGTAATAATTCATATTAATAGTGGGTTCTATATTACATCTTATAGGAGGATCTCAAAGCACTTTACAGATATTTAAATAACCTCCCATGAGGCATGTATCATCATCATATCCATTTTTCATACAGAAGTTTCACTTTACATGCCTTGAATATGGCACAGGTACTTTCAGTGCTAGGAACAATAGATCCTGCAATGAAGTGCAGATTTTTGAGGAAGCCAAGCATTCAAGGACTGGTAATAGGATATAACTCAAATCCAGCACAGGTCAGTGTTATCAAAAGTCATTGCCATCTAGAGGGTACTCAGTGGCCTGTGTGAAATGAGCAGTCAGTCTTAGTCCACAT